CAGACCAGGGGAGGGGGTATTCAGAATGCATGCCATCTTGGGGTGGGGGGAGGGGTGAGAAATTTGGAACTCAAGATCTTGTGGAAGTGAATATTGAAAACTAAAAATAAATAAATTCATACATTTTAGAAATGAAGCCTTTATCAGAAACTTCTTGTAACATTTTTCAGTTATGATTACTATGATTACTATGATCCATCCTATTTTCCCATTTATCCTACTCTCTCTTTTCACCCTGTCCATCCTCAAGTGTTTTGCATCTGACTACTGCTTCCCCCAACCCTCCTGTTCTATCAGCCCTCTCCCCCACTTTCCTTATGCCTTTCTCCTCCTACTTTCCTGTAGGATAAGATAGATTTCTATACCCAAATGAGTGTGTATGTTATTCCCTCTTTGAGCCAATTCTGATGAGAGTAAGTTTCAAGAACTCTTGTCCAACTCCCCCACCTTCCCCTCCACTGTAAAAGCTCTTTCATGCTTCCTTTATGTCAGATAATTTACCCTATTCTACCCTCTCCCTTTCTCCTCCCAGTACATTCTTTCTCACCTTCTTTTATTAGATATCATTCCATCATATTCAATTCGCACCCATGCCCTCTGTCCATATGTATATTCCTCTTTAGCTGCCCTAATAATGAGAAAGATTTTAGGAGTTACAAGTATCATTTTCGTATGTAGGAATGTAAACAGTTTAACCTTATTGAATCCTTTAATATTTCTCTTTCCTGTTTACCTTTTTATGCTTCTCTTGAGTCTTGTATTTGAAAGCCAAATTTTCTGTTCAGCTCTGGTCTTTTCATCAGAAAGGCTTGAAAGTCCTCTATTTCATTGAACACCCATTTTTCCACCTGACAGATTATATTCAGCTTTGCTGAGTTGGAGATTCTTGATTGTAACCCTCCATAAGATCATATTCCAAGCCCTCTGATCCTTTAATGTGGAAGCTGCCACATCTTATGTTGTCCTGACTGTGGCTCCATGATATCTCAACTGTTTCTTTTTGGATGCTTACAGAATTTTTCTCCTTCACCTGAGAGCTCTGACATTTGGCTATATTTCTGGGAGTTTTCATTTGGGGTTTTCTTTCAGAAGGTGATCAATGGATTCTTTCAATTTCTAGTTTATCCTCTGGTTCTAAAATATCAGGGTAGTTTTCCTTGATGATTTAAAAAAAAATATTTTAGGGGCAGCTAGGTGGCGCAATGGATAGAGCACCGACCTTGAAGTCAGGAGTACCTGAGTTCAAATCTGGTCTCAGACCAAACACTTGACATTTAGTAGCTGTGTGACCCTGGGCAAGTCACTTGACCCCAACTGCCTTTAAAAAAAATTTATTTTAAACTTAAATACCAAAACTTAAATACACAATAAGAAAAGAAAAAGAAACACATTATAAATTTAAATATTAAAACTTAAAATAAGAACAGGGAAAAAAAAGCTTTGCCATGTGCACAGCAGAATGTAAGAGAAAATTCAAAATACACAGCAATAAATTTCCATTTCAAGAAAGCCTATGTAATAAACACTACACGCTGCATTCAAAGCTGTACATCTTTTCTTTGCTTTCCTTCTCTGCTGTGCATTTTTTACCTGGTTCTTTTATTCCCCTTCCTTCCTCCCCTAAAAAGGCTACAATTAAGTACAGATATATTTTTATAACCACACACACATACACTTGATAATTTCTTGAAAGATAACATCTGGACTTTTTCCCCCCATGGCTTTCAGGTGTTCAATAATTCTTACATTCTCTCTCCTCAATCTATTTTCCAGGTCAGTTGTTTCTCCAAGGAGAAATCTCACATTTTCTCCTATTTTTCTATTCTTTTGATTTTGTTTTATTGCTTGTGGTTGTCTCATTAGCTTTCCCTTGCTCAACTCTAATTTTTAAGGAATTATTTTCTTCAGTGGATTTTTGTACATCTTCTCCCATGTGGCCAATTCTGCTTTTCATGGAGTTCTCTTCATTTGGGCTTTTGTGCCTCTTTTACCACTTGGCCTACTCTGTTTTTTTAAGGTGGTTTTCTTTTCCCCCCAGTATTTTTTTGTGCCTCCTTCTGCATGTTAAAGTTGGGCTCTGTTCCCCAGGGGGAGGGGACATTGTCCCAAGCTTCAGGGTTTTTTGGGCAGCTGCTTTCAGAGCTAGTTCTGGGGGTCTGTAAGCTTTCAGTTTTTCTAAGGCAGTATAATCTAAGAAGAGGTATGCTTACTTCTCTCCTGGCCTGTGCTCTGGTCTGTGAGTAACCCCAAGCACTCATTTCTGTCCTGGAACTATGGCCAACAAGCTCTGGTGTGGTGGTGCTCCTCTTCACCCTGGGCCTGCGAGCCAGATCTGAGTATGGGCAATGGAAGAGTCCTGTGCCCAGTGCCAGGAAAGGGACCTATAATCTCCTGACCAGTTGTCCTAGTCTGTCTGTAAGCTGAGAGTTCCAGAAGCAGCCACTGCTGCTATCGGCCTACTGCTGGTTTGCTGGGGTGCGGCCTGTGCTCCACTCTCACCCTGGTGCAAGAGACCTTTCCTGCTGACCTTCTAAGTTGTCTTGGGCTAGAAAACTGCTTCACCCTGTTCCTTTTATGGGTTCTGTTGCTGCAGAATCTGTTTTGAGGCATTCTCTAAAGTTGTCTGAAGGGGAATCTGGAAGAGCTCAGGTGAGTCCCTACCTCTTCTCCCACCATCTTGGCTCAGTCCCCTCTCCCCCATCAATAAGCAATTTCTTCACACCCTACTATAAGCTAGGCACTTTGCTGGGTCCTGAGATCATACACAGAAAAGCAGGTATAAAATATGCAGTAGGTAATTTTGAGTGGGGGAACACCAGAAGCTGGGGTTAGCTCAGCAAAGGCTTCACGTGGGAGATGGCTCTTGACCTAAGGGGCAGAAGTGAGGATGTCATGAGCAACTCTCACACTTTCCAAGTGCAGAGCAGCAGAACAAATCGCCAGACCAGGCCTCCCTCCTGCCCCTGCACAGCTCAAAGGCTAGCCTTCCTCTCAACTCTCTCTACCCAGTTATTTCCCCTAAAAGTTAGATTTTTTTTCCGTTACCTAATGCATTTAAATGGATTTGACTACAGTAAACAATGAGATCAGGGTTCTAATTTAGGGTCACCAACCCTCAGGTCCACTTGACCCTTTATTTACCATTTCAGGGAATTTGTCGTTAAGAATCAGCACAGCTTGGAGCCCCCAGACCGAATTCAAAGACTGATTGCTAAGATGATAATTCTGACCAATTTAAACTCTTGTGTATTCTTGTCCTCTCAAGACACACACAATGTGGATCAGGGAGAGAGGAAGGGAAGGAGGAAGTAGTAAAACCTTTCTAGGACTCTCTTCAAATCTTAGAGGTACAATCACATCCAACAGGTGCAGCCTAAGTTCCACAAAGAAGTGACCTGCTTCTGGGCCTTGCCTGCCATGCTTGCTGTCCAGTTTGTTTTAAAATAGTTTTACTTATTTTTGCTGGGGTTCTTTTCAACATCACTAAAATTTCCCTCCTAGAGATGTTCCATAACAAATAATTATTTCTAATGGTTTTTATTTTGTTGCTTGTTTTGGTTTGGTTTTTGGGGGGCTAGGCAGTGGGGTTTAAGTGACGTGCACAAGGGCACACAGCTAGTAAGTATCAGATGTCTGAGGCCGCATTTGAACTCAGCTCTTCCTGACTCCAGGGCTGGTACTCTATCCACTGCACCACCTAGCTGCCCCCCAAATAACTATTTAAAAAAAAAAAAAGTGAAAAAATGTGCAGTGCACCCCACAAGTGGACGGACCTCTGCAGGGAGGCCGCGCTGCCTCTGGGCACTTTCTGCAGCCCTGACTTTGGTTGTTTGGTGTGGGGCCGCTCTCCTCATGTACGTCACAGTCACTGACTGCATGACGTCTGCTTGGTTTTACTTGCTTACTTCTCGCTGCAGCGAGCAGCTCCCGCAGCTCTGCTCGAGCTCCTCACTTCCTAAAGCCCTGTAATGGTCCAGCCTTTAGTTTTGTCTACTTGCTCTGCTCCTATCTCTCTTCTCAGCTGGGGGAGAAGGTCAACACCACTGCTCAGTTCTCTCAAAGCTGGACCTCGCTGGCTCAGCTCCCTCTGCGGAGTCCCTGTATCCCTGTGCTTTGTGGCTTTTCAGAAGCTCAAGCCGGCATCAAAAGCAGCCCGGAGGGCCGATGTGAGAGGGAGGGGACGGCAAGGAGCCAGTGATTCCACTAGTTTACCTCAGAATATGGATACAGTTCCCTGAATTTTAAAAATAATCAGTTCTTTAAATCTTTTCTTCGTGTGCATGCATGTGCACATCTATGTGTATACAAACATTTTTAATCCAAGTTTTAACTGTTTTTCCATGCATAATCTCAGATTTTACACGGGTTCTAAACATCTATTTACCACAAAATGGATGGTAATGGCTCTTTTTAAATGTGAGTTCATTTTTCCTATTAAAAATAGGCCACTTCTCAAATTAACTGCACACAATTTTGTTTCAGTTATTTTTTTTTAAAGCCAGAACTGCACATCTACTTCAAAATAAAAATACATTCATAATTCTATTCAATGTGATTCAACCAACATTTATTAAATGCCAGCTACGTGCTAGGAGCTGGAGGTATAAAGATTTTTAAATGACAGTCCCTGCCCTCAAGGAGCTTACATGCTATTGAGTGGGGGGGGGAAGAAGAGATCATTCTAATCCACTAAAGCTGCATGGTATTGTCCATCTACTGTGCCAGTAGAATTTGTTCTCTGAATGGTTAAAAAAAACAGGTTGAAGACAACCTCCCCCTACTTAAAGGCATCCAAATACAAAAACTAGCCCCTAAAGGGCAGCACACTGAAGAGCAGTCTTTGTACACAGACACTAAGCTCATGGCCTCTCATCATGGATGAATCACCCCCTCATTTACCCACCACCCAAAAGGAGCCCCATGTTTCAATGCTGTCTGACAAGAAAAGGACAGAACCCACACCCCATAAGACGATAAAGAATTCAGTGTTAGACATCCAGTTGCTTGTAAAACACCAAAATGTATTTGAATAAAACTGTTAAATGTAAAAATGGATTATCATGAGGTTGCCATTAAGACTTAACTCTCACAGAATGAAGTTATCCCCTTAACAAAAAGTTTAAATTCCAGCTTTTCAAATAAATATACTCTTAACAGAAAAAAAATTAAAAATCAATTTAGAATCAATTCAGAATGAGTGCTTTATTTTTTAATTTCCCACAAAATAAACTGAAACTATCATTTACATCAGTTGAAATGACAAAAAAAAAAGAAAAGTTAGAAATCAATCTGCTATAACTCTCTTGTAAACACTTTATGAGCACAAAATAAGGATTAAAAGAAACAAAATGGAAAAACGAAATACCTCTTAAATTGAGGATAATCTCACTGTCATATTACCCACCTGCAGATGTATAAACAGCAGATGTATTTAAAGTAGTGCAAGATTTAATGAATTTAGGACAATACTCAAATCAGCCCTAAACCAGTTCTCAATTACTTGCTCAAGTTCGTAAATAAGAATCAATTTAAAAAGCAAATCTCTCCTAAAACTTAACCAGCAGATAGATGTCAACTTCATACCCAATACAACACTAACTATGGAGATCTTGAATATGTTTCCCACCCCCCACCCCCAAAAACATACACACCAAAAAGCAAAGCCCCAGCACCCAAAGTGCGTACACTTCAATGTAACTGCAGGTCCTCCCCTGTACTGTCACTTGTGTAAAAAAAGGTTTCCTTTAATATTTATATATCCGGGAGTGAACATATTGCTTCAGATCCTCTTTCTGAATTTAAAATATACACACGTAATTTTCCTTTGTCTCTGATAAAGTACAAATATTAGTTGATAATGGGGAAAATGGGTGAAGAAAGCTCTGTGGCTGAGGTGAATAAAACAAACTCTCTCTTCTTTAAGAAGCATGAGCTGAAATGTAAGGCATTCCCATTCTGGTTGCTGCATGTATAATAAGGGAATGCAGATTTTGTAAACAATAGCTCTAAGACAGAAATACTGAAACCAAAAGACATTACTAGAGGATCTCTACTGAAGGTCCCCGAACCTAACCTACTTCATTAGAAATCAGGGGAAAACGTCTGGAATTTCTCTCGTGTTAGGAGACGCTACCCTTTGTCTTCCCTTTTCTTTGTTCCAACCCCATAATCAAGCATGAAAACATTTTCCCCAAAGATCCTTGAAATAAAATACTGATGTAAATGCTGATTTCAAGGGCAAACAGCTTTCACAAGAGTCTATTTCTCGGGCATCTTGCCATCTGCTGACTCTGAGGCCGCGCCGTTCTGGGGTAAAGTGTCAAGGGACTCCTGCGAAGCTTTCCTTCGGGGAGAGTTTATTGGGACCTGAGGCTGGTGGGCAGCAGCAGGTTTGGCAGCACTGAGTGGCTTTGAAGAAGAACTGGACGGAGGTCTACGGCGACTACTTTCCTCTCCAGTAGAAGCTGAAGAATGTCTTTTCCTCCCAAATTCTTCACTAATAGGAGGCTGTGTATGAACAAAGGGGATATGGTTTAAAGAACCAGAGATGTGGATTTTGGCAACTTAAAAAGGTTGAAGAACCATGGTCTAGGGGCAAGAAGAATCTGATTTCAAAACAATTAGATGATCCAAAAACCTGATGATTCTGGCTAACATTTTTCTTTAGGAACCCTGGAATTTAGACCATGAGGCTAACATTTTATTTTGGCTGAAGTCACCCTGAATCCTTCTTCTCTAATGTTTAAGAGAAAGCCAGGACTCCTGGCTCAGATTAAACAGGAGTTACCAGGACTACAGCCTTGTGAAAACACTGGCTGTCAAGGCCATCTGAAAGAAATGGCTTTTCCACCTCCCATGGAACAGTCACAGACCTGTCAGACAACTCCAGCTCACGGCCATTAAGTCCAGGTATACAAAAAGGAGATCCAAAGGTCTCCCTCTTCTCTCCCTTTCTTTCCAAGTCTCTTGGAGCACGGGGTGCCCCAGACTCTTCTCTCTCCCTTTCCCCTCCCTTTCCTCTCATTTGCTTATCCCATAATCCTTCCATGTCCCTCCCCAATACACTGGAGCCACGCCCCTGCTCTCCAGCACGCCCACAAAGCCTCGCTCCCACATCACGGCACGCACCATCACACAAGTGTTTCAGTCCAAATATCTTGGGGGACGTTTCGTGAGAGCTCCAAAGGGGTAATGGACACCACAGCTGTCAGTTTATGAACAACTGTTCGGTGAGCTTTGGTGCCTATAAGACAGACTGTGGGCTTCAGAAGGACGCAAAAAGAAGCACGGGATATTAAGGAGACCCACAAAGGTGCCACCATAAAGTCTGAGAACCACTAGCCTAGATGGTAATTGGGAGAAGACTCAATAAGATTAAAATTTAAAACGTGTTCCAAGTGGTGCTCAAGATAATCACAAAAAGACATCCTGTTAAAACATGTAAAATAGTATTGATCAATGTTAAGCAAAAATAGAAAACATGACAAACTAGTTTTAAAACACACATTTTGTTTTAGGATCCTATGCCCTTCTGGCTTCTGTTTCCAAGCAGGGCCCAGAGTACAGCAGCTACCCACCTTTACATAAAAGGACAGCCCATCACAACTTCGTGTGGGAAATTATAAAGTGTAACATAAAAGTTTAAGGAAGATGCTGACAACCCATGCCAGACCAAAATACAAATGTAATCAAAGATTACAAGAGAAGGATTTTAAAACTTACATCAACTCGGAAGTCTTCCAACCTCTTAAAACTACAGAGGTATTCCTGAAGTTTTGGGTCAACAGACTGAGTCTTAGATTGGGAGTATTTTAGGTAAGCCCAAAACTTTTCCAGTCCATACAGCTGACCTGTTAACAGAACAATACACACAAAAATTACATTCGTGGTGCTGGAGCAGGTCGTGTGATTCACATGGTAAACACACTAATGACATCTTGACAGCACAACCTCAAAAACAACCCATGCTTCCCTCAAGGTATGGCCGCAGCACCCCACCCACGCCACCTTGCCTCTTTCCCAGCACATCAGGAAGGGAGCGCACAAGAAAGACCTTTGCATGACCTTTATATCCTTTATCAAGCTCGACCCAACAAGTCGTGGGGTTTACACACCCCTAAAAATTTAACTATTTATCACTCTCCCTATTCACTACTGAGATCAGGCTGAAAACTTTAAACATGATAAAATCAGCTTTCATACCTGATTCATAGTCTTTTTTGGTTTCTTCTTGGAAATCCTTGAAGATCTCTTGTCTGAATTTTTTTTCCAGTCCATAACTATAAAACCTGAACAGACATTCTAGCCCATATCTGAAAGGGGATGAGGGAAGTGAGAGATAAACATTCAGTTGATTCAATCTATTTTTTCAGTGATACTATAATTAATTCATTAACTACAATAAATGGAAGGGAGCAACAGCAATGATAATCCAAGCGAAAGGATGATGCAGCTCTTGGCACAGCTGATTTTGGAATGCGAATTTCTATACCAGATTTTCCTTTGTATTTGGTCCTGCAGCTAAGTCTGACTTTATGTTTTCATGGGGGTCATGGGGACAGCCCAAGCGCTCCCCTGTACTCCCCCGATGCCAGGTGCACCGACAGGAGGACAAGAACTGCGAGGCACGGCTGAATTTTCCTCAGTAATATCGAAGGAATATGCAAGAGGACTTCAGGCCGCTAACTATCATGCAATCTAAAGCTAGCGTCTACTTAGGTTTTTTTGTCGGTTTTTTTTTTGTTAGGCAATGGGGTTAAGTGACTTTGCCCAGGGTCACACAGCTAGTAAGTGTATGTGTCTGAGGCCAGATTTGAACTCGGGTCCTCCTGAATCCAGGGCCGATGCTCTATCCACTGCACCACCTAGCTGCCCCCATCTACTTAGTTTTGTATTGAATTTGTAACCGAGTACTGCAGTGAAATAAAAGGTGTGTGGACAGCTGTCTCTTTGAGAAAGGAGCTTCTAGGGGACCAAAAGCAAGGTTCCGGCCTAGGCTTATGCCCATACACCGTGTATATGCCATGCTGAATAATGTCACCGAGCTCCAGTCAGCTCCTCCGTCCTGAACAGACAGGAAATGAGTAAGTCATGCTTCTTTCCAGGAAGACAAGAGAAAAGCCGACAACAAGAAATGTCCGTGTCCTCTTACTACAGATGTCTAGGAACAACGAGGACCTGGATGAACTAGGCCTATATATGCTAGTTTACTCCCTATAATTACAGAGCTCAATTCTTCAAGCACGTTTTATTTGGATTCTGTCCTTCACAAAGGCTGGCTGACCAAACCACTTACAGGGAGTGACTCTGAAGAGTATGAATGGATGCACCGGGGCTGCTATCGCTACTGTGTATCACATCTGAGAGCAGCACAGACACACTCATCCCGGCACCATCGAGGAGGTGGGGTATGAAGACGAACGGAATGAGGTGAAAGGCTATTTCCATTTCTGTGTGTGCAGGAGCATATGATGCTCCAGCATCATTTCCTACCCTCGTCTCTCACTCTCCTGTAGGTCAGCCAGTGGGCTCCGGTGGACCACAGCCCGAGGATTAGATGGGACGAGGCCACTGTGGACAGAAGACAGTTCCCACGCTCGGCCAGGATGTCAGGCCGGTTGGATTCCGGTTTATCCTTTGTAGGAAGCCTGGATCCAGGAATGATGGGAAGTGGTGGGAGATCTACACTGGCATAAATTAAGGTACTATTCTCCTCCCATCTCAGGCTAGACCCTATTGTGGGCAGCAAAGACAAGTATGGGGTGGAGAGAAGGCAAAGAGCAGAGGCACAAAGACTCGAGTGCTTCACTGCCGCCTGCCTCAGTTTCCTTGACTGTAAAGGGCGGATCTTAACAGCACCTGCCTCCAAGGGGGGGCAGCGCTCGGCCCCATGCCAGGCACACAGCAGGCAGGCACACACCCAATAAACACCTATCATGTAAACGGCTGAGGCCCTAAGCGTCTTCCTGTGGCTACAGGGGGACAAGGAAAAAAAACACAACTATTCACCAGATACGTGTGGATCTGCTTGAGTTTTTCTAACAGGTTATAATAAAACATTAGCTACTGTGATAAGAAGGCATCTGGGAATGCATGTGCTTCCATGAAGCCTCTTTAGGAACAGTGTTAGTTCACTCAGGATATATCAGCATTATTTGAAAAGTCATCTTCCACGTGAAAAGAAAATTTCAAAATAACCACTGGTGGAACCCATCTGACCTGTAGTTTTCTTTTGCATCATCCCAAGCAAGTTGTCTAAATTCCTCGTACATTTTCTTATTGAAGTGGTCTCTGAGAAAAAAGGACCAGAAACGAAAGAGGGTATTCATTTCTTGGGACTGGCCAATTCCCAAGCGTTTTCTCTCTGGAAAAATGTGAATGATAAAATAAGTTCATATGAATATAGATACAGATAGGTATAGATATATAACCCACTAACTTGAATCAAGAAAATTAATGTTTTAAATGAGTTAAGCCAAAAGGGCTAAATCATAAACCTTAACCAATTTTTTTTTTGGCTTTTTGGTGAGGCAATCAGGGTTAAGTGACTTGCCCAGGGTCACACAGCTAGTAACTGTCAAGTGTCTAAGGCTGGATTTGAACTCAGGTCCTCCTTACTCCAAGGCCAGGCCTCTATCCATTGTGCCACCTAAGCTGCTCCTGCCAATTTTTACAAAATTATTTCAAAATATTGAAGAAACTTAATTTTCCAATGCACTTAAAAAAATCACTGCTAAAATTTAAAAGCTTAAGGGAAAAAAGGCTCATTTCGTTAAAAAAAGGTTTCAATTTTCAAGTGCTGTAAAATATATGGAGAAGATAACACTTTCGTGATAAATAAAATTAATTTTTTACTGCTTCAACTAAAAAGTTTAAGATGATTTTTTACAAAGAGATACAACAGCTATTAGCTACGATTATTAGTAGCTTACCTCCAAGATCTAAGTGCTAACATACTATAATTTACTGAAAATAAAAGAAAAAGAATTCTAACTGGATATATTTTTTATATAATTCTAAACACTATGTTAATAGAGGAAAAAAACCCATTTTATTTTAACAATCTTAAATCTAACTACTTGTCAACTGATGGGAACCTTACTTACCATTTAGGCACCTTCGACGATATTTATGATATACTTGTTGAGTAAAGCCATTTTCCTTCAAAAGTTCATGAGAAGGATGCTGGAATTTTGGGAGAGAATGAGGGGTACATCCATAGCTTCCTACCAGTGGTGCACCTTCTGAAGGTGAAGCATTTGAACTACTGTTTGAAAACAAAAACAAAAACTTAAACTTGGCATACTAGTGTAAAAGGATCTGGTTACACCTCTCCCCCCACACACACACTACACAAGGAAGCAAACAGTCAAAACCAAGCTGCACTGCTTTAATCACTGTTGGAATTCTTTTAAACTGGCCTTATTTTTTAAAAATTAATTTACTATAAAAATCATAACAGCTGAAACCCATATTATATAAAATTAAAACAAATAACAAATTCAAAAACTGAAGTGATAATCAAAATAATCATTAAGTAAATGGCCCTATTCCACCTTCAGCTCCATCAACTTTCTTTTTAAACTAAAGAAACTTGTATTCCTATTACTTACCTTTAAGACAGAAGAGTTAATGATGTGAATGAAGATAAAAAGTGGGAAGAACAAGGTTACTGTGGTCCAAAGCATAGAGTTAGTGGTAGTCAAGAATAGAAAAGATACCATCATCTCTGAGAGGAGTCTGGGATAAGCAAGCAGCAGCCCCCCAAATTCCAGCTCCACGGTGCTTCCCTAATCTACATCCTCCTGCGTCATCACCCTAGAATTAACATGTAATGGTGTGTCTTGTCAGTAAATGAAGAAGTTGCACGCATCTTTATTCCTTGCTCTTGCTTCCCGAGATGACATCATTGATAAGTGACGGGACCCTCGCCTGAGGACTGGCTCATCACCTGGCTGAAAACACTGTGGCTGCACAAGTGCTACACACAGCTTTTCACACAACGCTATTTTCCTGCTGCTTTTCACTCCATCCCACGCACAGCTTGAGCATCCAATGGCTCTGCGGCTGCGCGACTCGAGTGGCGCCAAAGGAAGACTCTCCGTAAGACTGCTCCTTTTACAAATTCCATTCCAGGAAAGGCGCGCACCTCAGCCCACCTCAGAGTAAAACGTACCATTCGAGACAGGGAGCCGGGAGGCAAGGCAGCCGCTGTTTATGGGCAGCTGCTGCCTCCGTGACTACTCCCAGTACAGGCAGATGAGGAAGTGCAGACAGAGGGGACGTCCCCTGTCCTCCCCCCACCCCCACCCCACGTCACACAATAAGTGCAAAGGTCCGAGCAGGATGCAAACATGGGTCTTCCAGCAACCCATCTCCATTATAATCCCTATGCACCATCAATTTCCAAAGAATTCAAATGCAGTAAGGCACAACGTACAAACTGTGTGTCCTTTTGTTAAAACATGACGTGGACAGATGGAAAAGCTCAACTGACAAGAGTCATGATTGATGAACTCTTATGAGTTTACATCACACACTGTCACAATAGCTAAAAAACTCCTTTCCTAAAAGAGTCAAAGGGGCAAACCCTATAAACCTGAGTCAGGTGGACAGAAATACCTTCTTTGAGATCACCACCAACCATCTTTCCCCAAAACTCCCTCTACCCAGCCCTTCACCCCCAACACCAGGAAATCTGGAAGGAGAGGGAGCGAGAGAGACCGAGCGTGGGATTGCACTGGAATATGCAGCTTCGAGGGAGGAGATGTCCTCTGCCCACACACAGGCGCACTGTCTTTGATATTCACAGTTACTGAAAAGTTACATGCGTCCTGAGAGACTGACTTGCCCGGAGTCAACAGACTAACAGGTGTCAAAGGCAGGACTCAAACCCAAGTCTTGCTGGCTGTAGAAGAAGCTCTCCTTCCACTACCCCAAGACACCTCTCCATATTTACAAACAATCTACTTGTACTGTACATTGGAGAGTGCTCAACAGGGAAAAGTCTTGGTATTCTGGTTAATTCAATGAAATATTTATGGGAATGTCCTGATAGAAACCCAATAAAAAATCTGCACCAATATATGGAGTAACATGCTTGAGTCGCATGCCTGAGCATGTGGAAACCAGAGCTCCATTCTCCCAGTCACTGATTTTGGAGGTAAAGGGCAATTAGAGATCAACAAGTCCGGCCCTCTCGCCAAGGACGGACAACGTCCATTACTCTAAGCATATCCCTAGCACGGGCACAGATAACGTGTCCCAAAAGTCTTAGTGCGGTTTTCAGCTCCCGGCAGCACTAAGACTTTTGGGACACCACTGCATCTGAGATCACATTAAAGTAAAAGTTTACATAACATATGCACGGATGATTCAGGAAAGAAGCTACTGTGTAACTCGTCATGTGTATACTTAATTCTTTACAAGAACATGTCTTCCTGCTCAGTGGGGCGCAGCACCACAAACTGCAGCAAGATTACTTAACAGGCCATCTAAATCGCACTCATCACCATTTCAGTTAGCAGCAGGTGACCTCAGCAGGTCTGCTGATTCCCTCGGCACCAGGCATCCCACAACACCAGAGAAAATCACTCCCCAAACAAGGAACTAACTAGCAGTGACACCTTAGAGGGAGCCAGGCTCTCAGGTTTTCTTCATACACAAAAACAGAGGGTTGGATTGAAAGGGGGGAGGTGGAGGGAGCTCTGAACCTGGAGTCTGTGAAGGTGTTTTTAAAAAAGTTTTGGTAAGTGTATTTGTAATCGATTAGTTGAGAAAAGCCATGGTTTAAGGGGCAGAGACAAAGAGTTCTGTTTAGGATGTGCTGAACCCAAAAGGTCAGGGGGAATCCAGTCTGAAATATACAACTAGGGAGCTGGAGACAGAGAACTGGAACCCAGGAAAGAAAAAGGTATTTTTTCATTTTTGTTTTTTAAGGGTGGAGGCATATTTGAAGAGAGCAAGGAAGGAGTCACGAGACAGGGATATTCCAGTAGGGACTGGGGGGCGGGTGGAGCCATGAAGGCACCTGCTGGAAGTGGGCAGTGAGAGATACACAAAGCAGGCTCCCCTCTCCTGGGAAGTCTTCAAGCAAAGGCTGGAATGGCTTTGGGGGCCATCATATCGGGATTCCCGATTTTTGTGCCCACTGAACTGGTGCTGTACTTCTGTGAGGTCCCCCACACAGCTGCCAAACAAGCCTTTTCAACAAACTGCCAGGTCTTGATTGCCTCTAAAAGAGACTGTAAATTGCTCTTTGGCTTTGAATAAAAACTCCGCAAAACTGCTTCCCTTCTACAACCCAGCCAAAATGGCTTCCCACTCCCTCACGTGCACCCCTCCCTCTCTGGTCTCCAGATCTCTGCACGGGGGCCCACACCAGAACAGCCACCTCCTTGCCACCTCCCCATCACTTTCACCCCGTCCTCTGAGTTACGCACATTCGTCTCTGCTACTTACAGACACGCACACTCTCTATGCAGGCTCCTCCTTGAGGGCAGGGGCTGTTTCTCCCACTGTCTGACCCTGTACCCCTAACCCCAACAGAGCCTGGCACTCCATAAATACTTGTTGATTGGGTGAACCTCAAACCACATAGAAAAGTTCTCAAAACACAGCCGAACTCAACAGGGATGCCCTGATGTCACCAACATGCACATGCCCAAAAGTCGCTGCTGAAAACTGGGAAAGCTCCAAGAGGCAAGTCCCTGAGCCAGGAAAGCAGCATGGAGTCCCAGAGCTAAACAAAGAGAAGGGATACACAGGATATAAGAACTGGAAAACACCAATAAAGAGTAAAAACAACAACCAAAATCAAAAAGGAAACGAGCTAGAAGGCCTCATCAAACACTGCAACATCCACACAATCTACAGATATTGCTCAGTCCTTTTCACATTAAAGCGAACGAACTTTCTTAATTTTATACACATACTAAGTAAAATTGTACATGTTATGACAATGGTCATAACAAACGAGACTACTGTTCTGAACAACATGCAAATTAAGACTAAGGATTAATGTCATTGTTAGGAAAATCTGTTTTCATTTAAAAGAGGGCAGGAAGACTTTAAGTTTTAAAATTCAAATACTATCCTACATTGGCACAGTTACCAGCCATTTCTGCTTTTTGTTCTTTGTTCCCCTTCTCGGAATTCTTCTATTTCCCCATTCTCGAGGCTCTTGTACTCTAGAAACATTTCCCATTCATTCAAATATTCACTGAATGCCTCCTGGCAGCAAGGGGCCGTGTTAGACGCTGAGGAAGGAGAGGAGTAGGAAGGGAAGCAAAGGAAGGTGTAATAACAGAAAACCGTCTCCGGCCCCCTGGGGCAGCTGGCATACAAATTTTCAAATGCCACTAAAAACCTCAATAGCTTTTCTTCCCATTAACAACTTGGAATCAAAACCAACAGAAGATCCTGTCGCTTGGAATAGCTACCTGACAGAAGACGTTCTTGGCCTGTGATCTCTGGAGTCCATGACCCAACCAACATGACACTCTAGAGGGGGGTTTGTACTGTGCCGTGTTTTTCTCTTTCTTGGAATCTAAAGAAAAGAAGTCAAACATTGCAATTACTTTTCAGTAGTGTGAACTTAACAAGTAAATTAAAACCCTCTGAGAGTCAACTAGCTAAAACATTTTCATACTATGGATAACACATTGTGAAATCATATGAAGTCACAAAACTCAAACATCTCTCTCTCACACACATATTACAAGTCTCATAACTTAAACAAATGGTTTTGCTAGTAGCTAAACTACCTTTGGGATGGAACGGAGTAGGATGCTTCATGATTTCATTAGGTTTTCTTTGACTTCACTACTCACATTCAAAGAAGTGATTTCCTTATCATCAAAAGAATCATCACTAAGTTAATTTTGTTTATGAACTTCTACAGTTTGAAGATGCTTTGAAGGTGGCAACTTTGAAAGCACTGAAGGACAGATTTTTCAAGATATCTTGAGGTAAGAGGAGACACCACCAATGTCTATGCCCATCTTCTCCTGACAAGGATATCCTTGATGGAAATCATGAGAAGAGAGATGTTTGCAAATGACTTCCTGAAGTACAGCACATTTTCAGGGTTACCAAACTGACTGAAAGGTAAAGACTCTGCAGCGTTCATTTAATTTTTCTCATTACAGAAAAGCGTGACTTGGTAGGGCAAACTGAGGCATTAAGGCTCCTCCAAGAAGGCATTTCCCCTAAGATTCTTTAACATGTACAACCACATAGATAACTCTTTTTCAACAATCCTGAAATCAATAACATCAAGCCAAACAGAGAGTTGTGAGCTCAACAGCATTTGCAACTATCTCCGATCATGTCCTGCAGAGTCCAAAGGGAAGACAAATGTGCTAAAAGATGATGAGGTTTTCCCAAAATTTCTATTTGTAGATGACACTGAATTGATTGAGCCAAATCCCAAAAATCCACAGGGACCACTCAAGAGAGATCCTTCTACTAATCAACATATGGAAACACAAACGAAGGGACAAAAGGATATGCTGAGACCACAATGGATGTGCTGAATTAGGTTAAAAGTAACAAACATACTACTAGACAGATACTGCAGACAGAGAATAAGTTCAGCTCAGGGTGAGAGATGAGTGGCCTGAAGACCAGCTGGAAAATTAAACAATGTGTTCAGCAGTCCCAATCTACTCCAAGAAATAACCAAAAAATCATTTTTTAAAAGACCTCTCCTCACGACGGTAGCAAAGTTATGAAACACCACAATCTTTGAAGAATACAAATTATGAATGCTCTAAATCATAATGGACAGTTTAGGTAGTAAGTTTAAGTAGATGGTACATTAAAAATCAAGATTTGAAAAATCAAGACCATAAAAGAGAGTCAAGGAAATTTTTGATCAGGAAAAGTCGTGGGGTCAACCACATCCATATGAAGGTGGGGCATAACCAGGCAGACACTCCAAGTGCTGCCCTGATACCCAAAAATGTTTTTTAAAAAAGTAACTAACTGTTTCAGTTCAGTGGGCAGAGCCTCTGTGGTGCATTTATGATACTAAGATTTCTGGGAAGAAGGTCATGGACAACATGGGCTGGAAGGGAGTTCTGCATCAGGGAGGTCACAGATGCATTTAAGTATGAACTTCTTATGATACAAAGTAGGTCAGACAATGTGTAGAAACTTTTAAAACAGCCACTCTTTTCCTATTGAGAGCGTTTCCCTTCACCTTCACATCGATGGCTTTTGGCTCCTTCACAACAGGGTAAAACCTCGGCGTCTTGTTTGGGTCTTGTAGTCTGGGCGTACGCGGCGTCTTGGGTGCTCTTGCAGGGTGAACTCTCGGAGACTCTGGGACTGCTGTTGGCAAGGAACGAGCCAGTGCTGTTGAAGACACTTCTGAAATACCAAATAATTTATGAGCCAGTTCATCAGTCAAATCTGTAAAATAGAAAAACAATCCAAATGTTAGCAAAATTCCAAACTGCCAACTCTGATGATCATTCTTTCTTTAATGGACGTGGGCAGTTCTGTAAATCCTTATCCCTAACAATCTTTAAGGGATGAGACAGTCTGCTACTGACTCACATTCTGTTAAGTATCATATAAAGCAACGTTCAAAGTGGCGTCCATAAACCCCCAGTGGACTGCAACATGGCCCCCAGGATAAGCTGACCAGAAGAGTAAGGGAAGAGGGCTTGTATTTCACCCTCCCTGGAGCAGTAAATCATGGGACTTGTCTCCAGCACTATACCAACCCCCTTCATCTTTATAATCCCTCAGCACAGACTGCCCTCTCCTTTCATCCCCTCCCACAACAGGCCTCTCATGGCTGTGGCAAGCTCCCAATCTCTCTCCTTCTGTTTCAAGAGTCAGCCCCTGAGGAAAGACCATGACCTAAGCACCCACCAGCAGATGATAGTATTAGGTAAAAAAAAAAAAACCTCCTCCTCTCACCCCACGTTCCATAAAAATGGAGCAGCTTAAGATTCTACTTTTCAAGAACAACTGACATCAGAGAAAGTAGAAATCTATTAGCTGAATTTAAAAAAAAAACCTCTGCCTACCTGATTTGTGGGATCAAAAATGACTACCATGTTTCATTGTAAAGCAATGGAGAACAAGAGATAAAGCATAAACCTTGGGCTAGGAAGATCTGTATTCAAATTCTGGCCCTGGCACATCTTGGCCATGTCTCTTCCATAACTCCTTCTTGGAGCTCTGAGTGACACTTCCCAAGAGTTCTCATCTCTCACCCAGCCCCTAATCGGGCCTATCAGGCTGCAGTAAGTGCAATCAGCAATGCACTCCTCACATCAGGATCGCGCCATCTCTGTGAGGGCTCCAGCTTTTCCAGCTGTGGCGATCATTCAAAAAAAGTTGTGAAATAAATGGAACCTAGAACCACGTCTTTGAATCACTGAATAATAAATAGTAAGCCAACACTTTCCAGAGTAATGAATAGTCAATCACACTGCTCTTGCATCTTAGGGCAAAATCTTTGTTGAAATTTCATCTTCATCTTGTCATCATGAGCTCTCATGATCATGCCACAGAGAGAGAGGAAAGAGCACAAGCACGTTCTATCACAGCCATCCTCTTAAAAAGGAAGGGGGAGCAACAAGACGAGGGGAGAACTGCTGGTGCACTCTCCTGTGCCACTGCTCCATAAATGCTTGTTGAAGGAATGGATTCACTGGACGGCTGGGGTCCTTGAGAGCAGACTCTTCATCCCATTCACCTTATGTATTCTTAGTGCCTAACAGATCAACCTTCAACAGTGGGTGGGATGAATGAATTATTTTAACAAGTGCTCTCAGGGGCAGCTAGGTGGCACAGTAGATAGAGCACCGGCCCTGAAGTCAGGAGGACCTGAGTTTAAACCTGACCTCAGACCAAACACTTGACACTGGCTGCGTGACCTTGGGAAAGTCACTTAACCCCATCGCCTAAAAAACAAAACATAACAAACAAAAAAAACCAAACACCAAAACAAGTGTGCTCTCCAGCCAACCTTTGCTTCGGACCCGAGAATGCCCTCCGCTGGCCTCCCAGCTCCCTGCACGCTTCAGGATCCTGCAAATTCTCAAATCTGAGTAAGGCTAAGCAGGGACGTGACCTTTAGAGAATAAAGAAAGGCCAGAGACCCGCCAGCCCAACCACCCCGCTTGACAGACAATAAGCTGAGTCTCAGGGAGATGAAGACTTGTATCAAGCCCGCCAGACAGACAACCCATGACAGCTGCCTCACACCTATCGGTCCGTTCATCCTTCCAAGAGCATGGGCCACCTATGCATTCCACAGTGGTCAAGACAGCAGAGCCAGAGTTAGGAAGCCACAATGGAGCGGCAGGGCAGGTCAGAAAATAGCTCTTCTACACAAAAGGGCTACTAAGGAAGGACAAAAAAATGACGAGGAGACCACAAAGTCTGTCCTGATTTCCAGAGCCTCCTCTTTTTGGGGCCGTTGCCCCAGAGTAACAAGGGCCATGAGACCATAACATCATTATTTAAAGCTAGAAAAGAACTTGGAGCTCTTTGAGTCTAGCAGCCATCATTTAACACACAAAGAAAACGAGAGGGTGAAGGGACTTGCCCAAGGTCAACAGTCAGCAGGGGGGCCTGAAAACAGCAGCCAGGGCCTCTGACTCCTACTGCCCCGCTATGCCTGCCTCCAGCAGGTTCATCTATGCCTATCCATTCAGGGCACCCCCATCTTCTCCACCAAAACCTGCTGCTCTTATCAACACTACGATAACAATAAATGTTAGGGCTTATGTGTTCCCTTTCCCAGGGACCTTTGCTTCAGTGTAAGAGATTCCTTCATTTATTTAGAGAAAAAATACTTTTCCTGCACCCTGTAAGTCACACTATATAGGCAACCACATCCTTCACTGACATAGAGGGTCTAGTCCTGGTAGTGAGCATAAAAAAAAGGAACTGGAATCAGCAAGATCCAAGTTCAGATCCAGCCTCAGACACTTACAGCTGTGTGACCCTGTGGCAAGTCACTGAATCTCTGCCTGCCTCCGTTTCCTCATCCCAGCAGCACCTACCTTGCAAGGGTGTTGTGAGAATCAAATGAGACAACAGCTGTAAAGATCTCAGCACCGGGGCCTGCACACAGTAAGCGCTTAATAAGTGCTTATTCCCTTCCCTCCCTTTCCCCTCCATAAGGTTACACTAAGTCACCCCGGGGTTCCAGGTTAGCAATCACCGGCCCAGGAAAACCTGGGCATTCGGACACAAGTCTGTTCACTGAGCATGTCCGCACAGTTGGCTTACGGTCCGAGACACTCTGCAGTCATGTGACATATGCGTTAGAAATGACCGCACTCTGCAGTCTCTGTGCTCTGCTAACTTACATTCTATATTAAAAGATAAAACTTTGGTTTAAGCTACTTCTGGATAGTGAAATGTTGATCTAAAACCAAGGAAAACAAACAGAAGAAGGAACATCGCATTAAAGTGTGAAGAAAAAACAAACGTACATACCTTGCTGAGACTGTGAAGGTCCTACAGGAACGTCTAGATTTGGCTCAAAGGGAGGTTCAGGTGCTAGATTCTCAAATTGCTCTTTACTAATTAGATTTAGCTTCTTAAAGTTTTCAACTTCTTGCTGAATTAGAATAAGGAAGCTACATTACTACTAAATTGGATAATAAACTCACAAAAGACAATTTGTATACCAACTTCAAAAAACAAATCTGTTTGTTAACAGGGACAATACATAGTCACAATATTCACAACAAATTCAACAGAGCTGGCCATTAAAATGACCGTACTTTGAATGACACTGCGCGTAGCCTGCAATAGTTACTGCAAATCATTACCGTAGTGCTGCACACCTTACATAAACACTTTAAACAGCAGACACCAGCCAGGTACCAGCACCTGCTAAGCACGAGGCCAGCCTGGGGCCGTGGGGAACACAAGGCAGGAAAGACGCGGCCCCTTCCTGGCATACAGACATACACACGGAAGGAGCTCACAAGAAAAGGCTGTATGAGCTAAGTGCCGAGCAGTAGTACAGATAGAACACACAGAGGCAGTCTGTAAAGACAAACAAAATTTGACAAAGAGGAAAGGATATTCCTGAAGAATGGAGGAGGCCCCACTGATTCTTCTTTCACCCCGTGGGCAGCAAATTCCCAATCATTACTCCCCTTCTCACTGTAATTCAGTGACAGGGTCAGGCCTAGCCGACCCATGCCTGCCCCTTCTCCACAGTCCATAGCTCCCCTATCCTTCCTCAGAACTGATTACTGGAGCTGAAAAAGACCTTGGAGGCTGCCTGGTCCAACTCTTCTTTTACAGCTAATGAAATGAAGTCCAGAAGTGAAGTGACTTGTCCAGGGTGTCTCTTCATGTTGCCTCATGCCCCCCGGAACCTCTGCTTCATTGTTAACCAACCAATCTACCCTAAATTTCTTCACATCATTCTTTCCATCTTCTGGCACTCAAGAAAACCCAGCCCCCTCTATAAGACACTGCCTCTCTGGCTGCCTTCTGCACTAGGACTGCCTGGGTGCCCCTTCTTTCAAGTACCCCAATATAATCAGCAAGAAGCCCCTCCCCCATTGCTGCTGTCACTCAGCTTTATTCCTTACCCTATCACCAATCCTCAAGCCGAGGTTACGCCCACCACCCCTGCTTTGGCATGGCTGGACACCACCAAAGGGAGTCCTCATGGTCACAAAAGGGTGGTCTTCTCAGCCTCAGCTTTCCTTGTCTGCTGCACAGGAACATTTTCCTCTTCCCCAACTGCCTCTCAATCACGCTCCCCTCAGCATCTGGGGCAAATCTCTTCTCTCAACCAACCTCCCCTCGCCCCAATCCATTCCCCTCCTCAGCAGAAGCCTTGCCTGCATCGCTGACAAAAATAAAAGGGCGTCCACCATGAGCAACCTCTTCTCTCCTCTTCTCCTCCCCTTTGAAAAACTTGTATTGTTCCCCATTCTCTCTTCCCTTCCTGCAGGAGTCTCTAAGGGAGAGGTTCTCTTTCTCCCAGCCTGGGCCATCCTTTCTGGGAAGCCTGCCCCTTCAATGATGGAGCCCTCCTCTCTCATCCTCCATTTTGCCTCATCACTGGCTCCTTGATTACTATCTATAACAGTGCCCAACTGCCCCATTCTTAAAGCACTTCACTTGGCTTTCATATTCCTCTCAAGCTCTCATTATACAACTCTTTTCCCTTTCCCAGCTAAATTTCCCAAAAGCTGTCTACACTTGTTACTTCCTTCTTCTCATCTACCACTTACTTCCCAATCTCTTGCAGTCTGTCTTCCAACTCCATAGCTCTACTGAAATTGCTCCCTCCAAGGCTACAACCTTGGATAACGGATAAATCTAGTGTCCTTCCTTCAACCCTTATCCTACTCGACCTCTCTGCTAACTCTTCCTCCTGGGATCACCCTCCTTTACTGCTCTACCTCAACATCCTACCCTGGTCCTTCACTGAGCTGCTATCCACTAAGGGCTGTGTCCTGCATGCTCTCCTTTTTCCTCTCTATACTCCTTGAAGTCATCAACTCACAGGAGCCCAGAACTTAAGGAAAATTCAACATATAAGATCCAGGAGAAATATGAGATAAACATTAAAGACCAATTACAAGGGACTCAATTAATAAAGTCAAATTGTTTACTTCATACATGTGAAAAATTAGCAGTATTGCTATGATGGTGGTCATTATTTGGGCAACTGGAAAGAAAGGCATGGGCTGAGCTGAGTATGATGGGATGATTCTAAAAAAATTAAACCGCAGGGAGAAAGAAACAGGAGTAATTATCTCATATAAATGAGGCATAAAAGGAAAAAACTGATACAGAAGAAGCTAGGGGGGTGGGGGTGGGGGGTGAGGATGGGTAGTGCTGGAACCTTACTCTCATGGGGAATGGGTTAAAGAGGGAACAACATATACATGTAGAAAGGTATAAAAGTATTCCAAATTCAGAAAGAAATAAGAAAGCAAGGGGATAGGGTCAGGGAGAGGGTAATGGAGGGACTCTTTGAGGGGTGGTGGGTAAATTAAGGAATAGGAGGGGGCAAGACAGTGGGCAGAAGTAAAGCAGAGAAGTGAGAAAGAATGGGGTAAATATGGTGAGAAAGATACTAAGGAAAAATAGGAATGAGTAAAATACACCAGTAATTGTAGCTTAGAATGTGATTGGGACAGATTTACCCATAAATAGCAGATTAAAAATTTGAATTCAGGGGGCAGCTAAGTGGTACAGTGGATTGAGCACCGGCCCTGAAGTCAGGAGGACCTGAGTTCAAATCCGGCCTCAAACCAAACACTTGACACTTACTAGCTGTGTGACCCTGGGCAAGTCACTTAACCCCAACTGCCTAAAAAAAACAAAAACAAAAACCAAAAAAATTTGAATTCAACAATACATTGTTTTCAGGAAACATAAAAATGAGAGTACGCACAAAGTTAAAATAAAGGGCAGGAATACAATTTAGCATGTAAAAAAAACTAAGGACAGTAATCATGATCTCAGATAAAGTTAAAGTTAAGATAGATTTAATCAAAAGGGAAAAACAGAAAAACTACACTGTGTGTCAGCAATATTCTTCAATATTGTTTTAGACCATTTAAAATAACTAGACAGTACAAAATAAACGTACAAAAATACCTGAGTGTCTAACCTGCCAAAACAGACACAGGAACCATACAAACAAATATAAAACACTTTTTATACAAATAAATTCAGATCTAAATAATTGAACCAATATTTATTGTTCATAGGTAGGTAAAGCCACCATAATTTTTAAATGACAATTTTATCTAATTTATTAAATGTCATCCCAATTAAATTACTAAAAAACTATTTTACTGAGTTAGAAAAAAATAATAACCAAGTTCATTTGGAAGAACAAAAGGTCAGAAACTTCAAAGAAACCAGGGAAAAAAGATGTAAAGGAAGTAGATTCAGCAGTATCAGACAGAGCTTAAGCTATAGTATAAAGTGAGAGCATTGCTGAAGTGTAAAAAGGATAATTTCGATTACTTTAAATTAAAATTTTCTTGTATAAATAAAACCTACGTAGGTAAGAATAGAAGGAATATAGAAAATCAGGGGAAAAAATTTTCATACCCAATTCTCAGATAGGATATGACTAAGTTGGAATACTGCTGTGGGGTAGGAAATGACTTGGACTTGGGAAGGAAGATTCTGTCCACCTTCAGGAAAACAGACGAGAAGAGGAAATAAGCACAGCACAGCTTCAGAAATATGTGTATGAGTCTTCATGTGTATATAACCATGCTTAATTGTAGCCTTCTTTAGAGTGATGGGGAGAGGGAGAGGGAAATAATAAAGTAAAAAGTGCACAGCAGAGAACAAAAGAAAACCAACAAGGAAACAAAGCAAAGCCGGGCAGCCTTGAAAACAATATGTAGTATTTATTATAGGTTTTCTTGAAATGGAAATTTATTGTTTAATACTGAATTCTCTCCTATGGTCAGCTGTATACATCATGACAGTGTTTTCTTTTTCGCCTTTTCTCATTTGTATTTAAGTTACCAAAATTAATTAATTGGGGGAATAAAGTCTCAGGAGTTCAAATTATCTTCTCTATGAATATGACACCCAATCCGTTTCCTATACTCGAATCCTATGTCACCAAACTGCCCAGTGGGTATATGCACTGGCATGTTACTCCCACATCTCAAACTCAGCATGTTCAAAATAGAGCTCACTAGAACTCCTTCTCTTCCCCCTCCCAAACTGTTGTCCAGAAGTACTTACTTCCACTGAGGACCAGAATCTCTCTGGTTACCCACAACCTTAGAGACATCTTCTACTCTTCCTTCTCCCTAAGTTCTTAGAGTTTCCAGGCGTTTGCAACTGCATCGCCACAACATTTGTCCTATCTCTCCGTATCTTCAGAAAACCAATGCCCTAGCACAGGTCCTCATCACCTCTTCCTGGGACTGATGTACAGCTTCCTAAACCATTTGTCTTCCTGCTTCCTTCTCTCCCCTCTCCAATCTGTCCTCCATGTAACTGTCTAAGATTAATATTATGCCACTGTTCTGCTAAATAAAAATCTCCAGTGGCTTCTATTGCATCTAGGACAAAATAAAACTCCTGAAAAGGGCATTTAAAGCCCTCCATAATTTGGCTCTCACACACCTTTACAGACTTCATTTTACAGTATAATATTCTCTTTCATGCAGCCAAGCTAGCTTATTAAGCTAGCTATTCTAGGAATCTGACATTCCATTTCCAGCCTCCATGCCTTTGCACACAAAGGTCATCTCCTTCACCTCCCCAGCCTTGCCTTGAAGGCACTCCCTTCTTACCCCTCTCTGAATCCTGTCATCTCCTATGGGAAGTCTTTCCTGATCACTCCCAGTTATAAGAACCCTCCCCCCCTCCAATGACCATGCACTTAGCTAACTGTTTACAAGTTGCATCCTACCAAATGCATTAAAAGTGCCTTAAGGTCAAAGACTATTTTTTTTAAATCTGTAATTAATTAAGTAATTAATCCCAGCACAGTGCTTTGTACATAACAAGTAATTAATAAATGTTTGAGGTGTAAAACTAAATAGGAGAGGGAAAAAGAATGTTATTTAGAAGTGAAAATGATTTCAGAATTTTCCTTTAACTCTGTGGACTTGAATTGGTATTCCTGAGAGGCAGAATACCGTGTGGTGGGATCACAGACTTGGAGAAAGAAAGCCTTGAGAGGTCACCAAGTCCAATTCCAATTTTGCAGAGCAGGAAACTCAGGCCAGATAGGTCACATAAGTATTACGTAACAAAGCTGACATTCAAGCCCATGGCCTCAGACCACAAACACTCTTTGCACAGCACCATTAGCAGAGGGTAACAAGGAGGACACTGTTCCCACCCAACTGTTCTCCTAGACTAAAGGTTCCCAGTGATTTCTAGACCAGTCCAACAGCTACTTACTGTACCTATCCCTCCCTCTCCTACACAAGCAGTGCTACAGACCCCATCCTCAGGGCTCTGCTCTGAGCTCTCCACAGCTCTACGTGGTTGCTCTCGTGGGCTTCAGCTCTCCCTCCCGGGCTGCAGAACGCCCATGCTGCATTGCAAGCAGCGATCTCTGTTCTCTACTTCTGTTTCCACTGGAATTTTGAAAGGATAGAGGATACTCTATATGGGCAGGGCTGACCTGTACTGAATCTAGTATTACTTCCACCATTGTTTCTCTTGTTAATTCTCTTTATCACAATAAGTCATTTTATCATCATTCTTTTTTTTTAAGCTAGAAATACTAGATCACCATAGATAACTTCCTCTCTTTTATCTTCTCTGTTCAATAAATACTGTAAATTCTTACCTCAAAATGTCTCTCAATTTACTTCTTCCTCTCCTTCCCACTCTGCTGTCCACTTGATTCAGGAATAGGGCCTCCCTTCATAGCTGAATTCCTGCAATAGCCTCCTAACTGCTTTCCATTCTTCCCTCAGGACAATCATGCCTCCATATTAATCTTCCTAGAAGCCACACTCATCACCAAGTCATTCCGCAGTGGAGCCTACCCTGACTGCCTCAAGTTGTGTCTAGTCAAGAACGGTCAAGGCTGTTCTTCATCTGCCTCTACCATACATGCCCTGCTTTCCAAATCAAACCGCTGCATCTACTGAGGACTTTCTGCTTAATGCCCACAATATATACTTTAGGGGGCATATTCCAGTTTTATCTTTCAATACCTTCCCTTTCTTTGTCAATGAAAACCCGCCATTCTTCTGACCTTCTCTACAGCATTTCATTTTCATATCACGTCATTCAGTCCTTATGTTGTTATAGCTTTTCTTCACTGATTTCTTCTGCGTATGTCTTGTGTCTTACCTTTTCAACTCAGTTAGAAGCTAAGTTTTATGCTTATTTTGCATAATGCAGAACCTAGCAAGGTTGGGCTCACATTTATTAGCTACTGAATGACTTACAAATAGGTAGCAACAAGAATAATTTTCTGAAATGTTAGTACCTTAAGGTTTTTTTAATTTCCAAGTTGCACCAAAATAATCCATGAGCTAGTTCTTACTAGGGCAAAGAGAAGAATTACACTTTTAAACTTAACTATGCTGAAATCATTCTCCAATAAAATGAGTTCAGGGGATTAATTCAATCAACAAATGCTTACTGAGTTCCAGCTATATGTGAGATGCTTTGTGATGAAGAAATACAAAAAAGATTAAGACACAGTCTGCCCATGAGAAACTTACGTGCTCACAGGGCAGATGAAACATGTATACAAATAAATCTATTATCAAGTAGAGTGTCATAAATACATAAGCTAGACAGACATAAATATATATAATTTATATTTCTAGGACTAGAGAGACAGAGATAGACAGATAAATACATATACACACATAAAAAGCAAAGTGCTATGAGGTTTCAGAGGAGTGAGCTGTTATTTCAGACGAGTGAATTAAGGAGTCTTTGCAGAAGACGGGACTTTGAGCTATGGCTTGAGATTAATAAGTTTAAAAAAAAGTTTTAGGTACAAAAGCCTTATAAAAATTTTTGCTAAAAAAAATATTATGGACTTAACTTTAAACAAAACCAATTAAAATTATATTTACAAGTAAACTTTACTTAATGACTTTCAACATACATGTAGCTACACAATTCAGACATTCCCTCACATTTTCCCTAAGTCTTTGCGCTTTAGCTGCTGAAACGTTTATTTTCCTTCTACATGCAGTCAATGGGCATACCAACCTCATTCGGCATTACTATATCCAAGTCTTTCCATATCTCTTTACATTACTCCTATTTGTTGTTAATTCCATTATACTATTCAACTACACTGATATACCAGTTTGCTCACTCCTCAATACCTGGGATTTAGGTCACTGCTAAGCTTTCTGCAGTTAGTCATGTTTCCATGAATACATTTAAAAAGATGCTTTTTTTTCCTTCTGAAAATATTATTATAGGACCATTGGAGAGGAAATTTAGAAACCAGAAGGAACCTTAGAGGTTAGTAACCTACTCCAACCCTCTCATTTATAGATAAATAAACTGAGGCCCAGAGATTTTAAGTGACTTGCCCAAGGTCACACAGGTAGCCAAGTTTCAAATTCAATTCCTGTAATCCCAAATTCAGCATCCTTCCACTATAGTGCACTGTCTCTCCAAATCTAGGATCCAAATTGCTCCAAAGAACATAACTTTCTAAAGCTTACAAACTTCATAAATTCCCCAACATATAGTTATGGTTGAAGCATTTTAATGCATTGTCTTTTAATCTGAAATAAATGACTTTTGAAGGAAAATGTGTCTTTTCATTTTAAACAGCATGCTTGAAAAATTATTATATGAAAACAAGCAATTCTTTCAACTTCAAACCTGTAATATTCGTTACAATGCTTTTGTAAACAAAAAGCTAACTACTACTTCCCTTGCAAGATCAATATTTCTAAAGAACTTGTGTTAAATGTTCCCTTGACAAAAACTATCTCTTGATAACCACCAAAATTCACAACAGAAAGCCTCATGATAAAGGAAGGAAACTGTGTTTCGTAACAATAATGCTGCTATTTGGAAGAAGAATACATTAAGATGGCACAAGAAAACAAAGTATCTCTTTTAAATAGTCACATAAAAAATTATATAAACACTAGATTTCATGATCAAAATAATTACCTTCATTGTTGCATGTTCATTTTCATCTTCTTCCATCCACAAATCTTGTTCATAATAATACAAGCCATCATTGATGACTTTCGCAAGTTCTGATGTGATTTTTGCACGGGACACATGGTTGCCTGTGCGGTCTCCACCAGGATGCTTCCGCATATAAGGTGGTGTCTGAGTCACAATCAAGATCTTGTTTAAATCCTGGTCATCAATTTCATAATCTGAATCGTTGTCAGACCAATCAGTAAACGTGTTTTTTCGTCCCTCTATTTGCTCCATTTCTTCATCAAACAGAAAGTCAAGCTCTTCTTGTTCTTGCTCCTCTGAAAGCTGCTGGGGCTGACTGGATGCTTCTTCAGGTGTGGCCACCGATTCCTGAAGGAAAATCATTTGCCCTTCACATTTAAGAACATTCAGATCCACTACGCTACAGCGTAGTTCTTTAAAGTCATACTGGTAACAGTGCTACAAGGAAACAATCCACCGTGCACATTGTTTGCCCACGTCATGTCCTTTCTCAATAAGTGATCAGGTGAATGATCGTTCCCCTGCCCCAGCAAATACCAAGTGGCTACAAAAAGGTTGCTTTCAGACTTCAGATGTCTCCCTCTCCTACACATACACATGCACGTAGAGACACATGCGCACACACGCACGCACACACACGATTTTGGGTCCAGAATTACTTTGGGGATCATCTAGTATCATCACGTCTGACTCTTCATGATCCCATATGGGGTTTTCTTGGCAAAGACAGTGGAGTGGTTTTCCATTTCCTTCTCCAGCTCATTTTACAGATGAGGAAACTGAGGCAAACAGGGTTAAGTAACTTGCCCAGGGTCATATAGCAAGTAAGTGTCTGAGGCCAGATTTGAACTCGGGTCTTCCTGACTCCAGGCCTGGCGCTCTATCCACTGTACCACCTAGTTTGCCTAAAAGATAGGTACACAAAATTATGTATTCACTCAATTTTCCCCCATGGATAAAAACTCACCTAGTACCAGTATATTCTGCCTAGTGTTCACTGTTAAGGTTTTAAAAATGATCAATCTTAGGGGCAGCTAGGTGGTGCAGTTGATAGAGCACCGGCCCTAAAGTCAGGAGGACCTGCGTTCAAATCCGGGCTCAGATTAAACATTTGACACTTAGTAGCTGTGTGACCCTGTGCAACTCACTTAACCTCAATGCCTTAAAAAAAAGAAAGATCATTCTACCTCTAATCCATTTATTTCCATACTAAATGCCCACATTAAAACAGAATGCAGAAAGACAAGTTAATGTTAAGAACTAAAGGTAGGCGAGGCTGCCAACTTGTCTGATTTCTGGGTTCAGGGGTTGTCAACTTTTTATGCATTTTGGTAGCTATTTCAATATAAATGATTTCCCTGGCAATCCTGTATCTTTGACTTCATGCATTTATCACCAGACTGACACAGGGGTTGGGCACACCAACAAGGTTAAGAATGCTGATGTCCTTCACAGAGGAAGAAGCCTTTCTGTACAGCTCAGGTTTAAAGTTTTACGTGGTCTTTTCCAGCCCAGCCAGTAAATCCTAAGCCTTCCCAACTCAGGCTTTTTCTCCTTAGTCTCTTCCCATATTTAGCAGCACCCTGTGCCATACAGAAGTTCTCTTGCTCATACTTCAGCTCCCTCCTATCCCATTTTATGTCCATGCAAGAGGAACTCAAGATGGCCTTCCCAAATCACATCCTAAGGAGGACTTTCTGCAGACAGATCACAATTGGTCATTACTATAATATCAGCTTACTAAACTAAAACATATACAAACAGTGCTGTAGCTCCAGTTGGAGGTGTTAGGCTAAATCCCTGGGCCCGCGGACCTCCTCTGTAAAAGAGCCTTCTTCAACTCAAAGGCCCCGCCTACTTCTCTGATCCTAATAAGGTTAACATCAAAGCCCAACTGCAAAAAAAATGTTTAAAACTGAGATTTTCCAAAAGTTCTATTTTAACGGGGCTTTTCTCCCTTAAAAGGTTGTCACTCTCTGCACCTGGTCACAGGAGCCTTGACAGAATTCAACTTAGCTGAGGGAGTGGCCTAAGGAGGTGCCCAGGGAGCTGGTGCACTCCAGCAGAAGGGCTGCAGTCACCAGGATCCTCTAGGTATCTTTCCTAGTTTCCCCCATTACAACTTCATTTTGAGCTCTACACCCTCAGGTTTGCTTACTCGGAGAATTTGAAAGCAGCCTGCATGTCACCGTCAAACATCTTTCTATGACTTTTTACATCATTCCTATTATCAGCAGAAGTATGGCCTATGACTCTGCCTTTTAAAGCCCTACACTGTAGCACAAGCTGCCGAGCAGATCAGCACATCTGTATTCCTCAGTCTCCTCACCTGTAAACTGGAAAGAATTTTTATACTTTACAGGGTTGCTGTGAGCAAAGCACTTTGTAAACCTAAGCTCACACGGTCTTAGACCTTAGACCTTGAAGGGGCCTCAGCCGCTGACCATCCTTATTTTAGATACAAGGGTCATAAAGGTAAATAACTTATACAAGACAGTGGGTAGAAGGCAAACGGAGGGTTCTCATTCAAGCCCTCTAAAACCAGAGGTTGCTTCTACTCCACCATGTCACACACATCATACTCACAACCATTGCTCCAACACACTTTCTCATCTTGCCTGCAGCCAGCATGGCGTCTTTACTGTCCTGACCATGCCACATCCATGCCCACTTCCATGCTGCTTCCCTTCCTCCAATTCTATCCCCTTCCTTTTTCCACTTACCTAAACTTTGCTCATCCAGCAAAGCCCTCTGTTCCCGACACACAACCTTCCATGAGGCCTCCTCTAATATCTGTAATCCATGTTTTTCCTCAACTCCTAATTTCATTATATTCAGCATAATGACTATTTAATTTTTAATTTTTTTTTATCTTCCCAATTATAATGCAAATTCCTTTTAAGGATGGGACAGGTCTCTCACAATGTGTATGTAACACAAGGCTGTCATCCACAAGAGTTGATCAGACCCTTGCTTTTTTTGGAGTACCCATCAAAAAAATCTAGTTTCAGTGCCAATTTTATTAAAACCTACTGGGACAAGAGTTTTAAGTGACCTTAAATCTGCAGAAAAAATAAAAGGCTTTGTTCTAAAATAATAAAGAACTAAGGACTCCAAAGAGTATTATCCGGTCCCATTGCTGGTCAAGAGATGATGGAGCATACTTCCCTACTTTTGGATGGGAATGTCCAATGCCCGTCAGACAGGATCACCATACAATGGTTTTCCTTAGCTGTTTTTCTGAATTATAAAGAGAAGCTCACAAAAGAGAACTGAAGCAAGCCCAGCCAAGCAATGCCACTCTGAAAATTGTATGTGAAATATATTACAGACTTAAAAAGAAAAACAAGCTGGCCATGAGATCTCCAGTTTGATCCACATAGAAATGCTCATTTTATCTGGTGTTTGTTGTTTGGAATATTTTTCAAAGCAGAGGGGAGGAGAGAAGAAGAAGTGTTCATGGGAAAGGATAGGATTGTTTAGCTAGAAATAACTGAAATATTAAAAAAAAAACACACACCGATAAATCTTATTTTTATTGGTTTACATTTGGGTGAAATTACATAAACCACTACCCACTGGAATTTTACTAAAAATGTATGGTCTTCACCTGGGAGACAAGAAAAAAATTAAAAACCCTCTTCTTTGCTACAAAAGATTAGGAGCCAAAACCAAAGGTTTATCTTGAGGAAAGAGGATATCCCGGACTGACCATGAAAAGACTGTTTAGCCTTAACTGATCTTGTCACTACTCCACAGCAGAGCAGCCTCCAAAGTAGGACCCAGAAAGGAAATAGCAGACCTCTTCTTTACATTGCTGTTACCTTTCCAAAACTTTCTCCAAAAATAAATAATCACTGATTTCTGAAATGCAGGCTGACAATGGTCCCTTCCCAAAGTCTGTCTCATCAGATGGTGACTTACTCCTCAGAGTATCCAGAGAGTGCAGTTCCCAAATTTGGCAGGGCTCACTGCAGACCTCACAGTACTAAAGTGTATTTGAGCTTTGATGTGTCTACCTTAAGTATATTTCCAGAAGACATATAAGTATAAACTACACTATCATAAAATGGACAAGTGTCTTGAAAAGATTCCTACAAAGAAACTGCAGACTGAAAATTATAATAATAATTCTACCATAAGCAAAAAAAAAAAAGGCAGAGCTGACACTTCCATTCCTTTTTTTTAAAATTTTATTAATTTTGACACTTCCATTCCTAAGAAAGAACATCTTCTGATAAATTTGCAAGAACTGATTACACTTTGCTCACAACAATTCTGTGAGTAGGTAGTGTAAACGTATTATTCCCATTTTAAGTGATGAGGAAAACAGAGGTCCAGGATAGCTTACACAAGCTCACACAGGTAGTAGGAGCCTCTGCACTGGAACCTTTGTCGGGGCTTCAGTTTCATCTGCTGCGAAATGGATATTAAGACATCTACCTCAACGCAATGAGATGCAAATGAAATAATGCTTGGAAAGCTCTTCTTTAACAGCATTTACAATTCCGCCAAATTCCAACTAAACCGGACTGAAAAATTGGAAGCATGATGGAATCAACACAGGCCAAAATGATTTTCCCCACATTCCCAAGCTTTCTCCTTTCTCAAGATATTTTTTTTAGATATAAGAACCATTAAAAGTCCCAAAATATGCAGTACCCAAGACGAGAACTTTGAATCACTGTGTCACAGTGTTAAACCATTTTGCAAAATAAGGATGTTCATCATTATCACTGATAACTCTTAAGAAAGCAAAACTACTCACAAAAAATTAATATCTATAAGTATTTGTATTCTAGTGAAAACAAAAGTAATTTATACTGTTAATAAAATAAAAATTCTAAACACCTATTTCATCTTCATCTCCTTTTAATATCTATTTTTTGAGCATGTTTTACAACTTAGAGTAGAACCACAAATACACAGATATTGGGACGGCGTGCTTACCCAGTGAGACTAACAAGGGTACAACATGAACTGTGGGCCCCCCCTACAATATGAACCAGATACAACGATCCATTTAAGGAGCTCAACTTTTATTCTATTTATTTTCTATATTATTTTCTATTCTATTTATAAATTAAGTTTTACTAACATTTAATATACAGCTTGGCATTGGTGCCCTCACTTGAGACACAGCTCAAGTGGTCACACAGACTATCCTGATGGAACAAAGGGACAAGCACAGTCCTCTCTTGTCCCCTTCTTCACTGAATGAAGACTTACTCCATTATGGGTGTATCTGGTTAAGCAAATTTATAGATAATAAAGTGGTTTTAGTGGACTGAAGACAATACTAATGATCTGAGCAAAAATGAACAAGAAAAAGTAACTGTGAAAGAGCT